AACTATCCTTGTATCGTAATCTGAATGTTTTTGACATCTCAGCAACTAAACTCCTTTGCTTCTGAACTCCTCAGCTGAAACCATTATTTCAGCTGAGGAGATATGACACATCTGTTCCTGGCAGTAGTTTTCTCACACTGGGATTCTTTGGCAGTGAAGTGGAGCGTTTAAAAATACACGGTCAGCTAGCGCTCAGAGCTGGCCCCTCCACATCCAGTTGGCTGAAGTGTTTGCGGGCATTCAGACACTCTTTGGGCATTGTTGTGCAGCATGGGACGGCAGCTGGACGTCTGAAGGAGGGCCTGTGTGGCAGGACAGCACGTAAATGACGCTCACTGAGAGCATGTGGTCACAGAAGGGCTCTGACTAAATATGGACAGGCGCACTCCTGCTGTATCACAATCACAAGGGAATGCAACAGCTGATTATCCCTTCTCCCTCCCTCCCTCCCTCCCTCCCTCCCTCCCGCTGTCAGACCCAGACCTCCTCTGCCTGGTCAGACACACAGACTCTTGTCTTAAACAGAAGGGGGGTGACTCCTCTCTTTAATGTCTGTGAACTTGCTCTGGATGCTCCTTTATTGTTCCTGAGGTGTTGCAGAGAACCCAACACTTGTCCACAGATGGTTTTGTCTCCTTTGCTCTTCCTCTGAGCGCTTTAGCGGCTCCTCTCGATGGCAGCAGTTAAAGACGCTGCTCATCTTGCGTCAGCAGTGGTGTCAAATGCTCCCACAGATAAAAATATGGCACAGCTCATAAGCAAATGCTTGGGTATAAAGCCTGCATACGTACCGCACCTTGCTTTAGTCTTTCAGCTCGGATGGCACACCGTTCTGCTGATGCAAGCATTTTGTGCTGTTTGGCGAATGACTAAAGGAAACTTCTCAAGACAACGCTTTGTTACTTGGCTCAGAAACTTTTGTAAATCATCAAAAAAAAATTACTTCCAATATTGTATTTTGAGGTTAATCAGAAAGATCAACAAACAAAGAAATAATCATATCTGCTTTCTGTTACACATTAAAGTCACCATGGTAACCACACACCTTTATCCCTGACTGGGCCTTAATTATTAAAGGACTCAAACTTTATTCATATAGCACTTAGTAAACAAAAACATACCACCAATGTGCTTCACAGACACGGGAAATAAAACACATGAAATCTACTATAAAATCAATAAAACTACTCAAGCAAATGAAACCATACAATAAGAGAAAAATAGCATCTTCATCAGTCATCCCGCAGAGTTAATATCCAGTTTGTAAAAATGCGTCTGAGACACAGAAGACAGAGTTTAGAAAGCGTGGAATACTTTTATGGGTAAGAAAGGCCCGTCACTTCTAGTTTAGAAGAAAAAGTTGAACATTTCTACAGTGGGAGTTTTTTCCTCTTTGAAAGGGAACCATACATACCATAGATGTCAGAGACATTCGGTCAAATATGGCAAAAATGCTAAAGATTTGATGTATAATTTTGTATATTTAATAAAAAATAAGATGATTTTGTTTTTCTGCATTTTGGAAATCTAGACAGCTCTGAAGTTAGAATGGATGACGTCTTCACGAACCTTCTGTGGTAGATTCTTACAAAAACTATAAGTTACTGAACTTTCCTCCGTGCAGAGCCGTGTCCAGGACTTTTAAAATGGGGTGGCCCATGTGGGGCACTTGTTTATTCATGGGTGGCACCAATGCTTATGATTATTTATTTATTTACACAAATCTTTTATTTATTTATTTACTTTCTAGTGAATTTTTGAGTTTCACATTGCACAATCACCTTTTTTCATCTTCTACTTTTGTGGTGGTTAGCAAGTCACTTCTTGTTGCATTACTGCCACCAACTGGAGTTGAATGAGACTCTAAATATGATGTATGTGAATTTAAAAAAATATTAAATAATATTAATACTACATGCCTGGGCTAGAAAACAAGGTGAAAGGTGCATGCAACCACACACTGTTTTGGAGTTTACAACCCAAGCCTTTTGTATACAATGTAAAGTCAATTTAAACTGGAACTTAGTGGGGTGGCACCTGGGGTGGCCAATCAGATTCTAAGGGTGGCATGTGCTACCCCAGGCCACTCCCTGGGCACGCCCCTGCCTCCGTGACCAAGCTGAAAACACGAGGAGTGTTTAGGTGCTTCATGTCTGGTTGAACAGAAAGACAAGATAAGATATCATCACTGTTAGTCGAGTTATCTTCCTTGTTGAAGACTGACCTTCTGGTCAGTGCTGAAGTGCCCTTGAGTATAACATGATCCTTGTTTGTGTTTCTGAGAGGACAAGGATGCTGCATGTGTTGAGAACATGCATGAAGCGTGTTAATGACAGTGAGTCACACACTTTCTTCACAAAGTGTTGATAGTGCTCAATTCATTTCAGTTTGTTTACATTAGACCAATTCGCACAGATCATCTCACGGCACAAGTCAAACTTTCTGAACCCACTAAGCAGTGCACTGAGTTCAGCTCAGGTGTGAAATTATTTCAATTCAATTCAAATTTAAAGATACTTTATTAATCCCAGAGGGAAATTCAGTCCCTTTGAGATGTTTGTCTTACTTTACTTCAGAGTCGTCGATGTTGGTTTCTGAGGAAAAACATCTTACAGGTAACATCTTACCTGAAGTCCATCCATCCACTCATTGTCGTCCGCTTATCCAGAGTCAGGTCATGAGGGCAGTAACCTAAGCGGAGAGGCCCATGCTTCCCTCTCCCCAGCCACTTGGGCCAGCTCCTCCAGGAGAATCCTAAGGCTTCCCTGGCCAGCCAAGGGACATAATCCCTCCAGTGTGTCCCAGTTGGACATGCCCAGAAAGCCTCATCCAGGAGCCATCCTAACTAGATGCCTGAGCCACCTCAACTGGGTCCTCTAGATGCAGAGGAACAGCGGGTCTACTGTGAGCCCCTCCTGGATGACCGAGTTTCTCACACTACCTCTAAAGGAGAGCCCAGCCACCCTGTGGAGAAAACTCCTTTCAGCCGCTTGTTTCTGCGATCTCATTCATTTGGTCACTACCCAAAGTTCAAGACCATAGGTTTGACCTGTGGCTTGAAAACAGTCTGCAGTACTTGTAGTCTGAACGTCGTCTCAAATAAATCTGCTGTTCTTTTCATTTCAATTCATTTACTGTAAATTAGACCACTCAACTTTATCTGAAGGTCACTAATATTTATTAAGTAATAAAATCTTTTCGGCATCCATTTTTAAAATGTTCCTTCCTTCAATCGTAGCTACAGAGTGGAAAGAGACCCGAGGACAGTGGAGCATCTGGAGAGATTGTCCTTCATTAGGGGTTTGGTGAAAAAAGGCAACCGTCACCAATCAGTCTAACCGTTATTAAAAGTGAGTTTTTTTACTTGGTTTTGAATGGATTGAGACACAGAGCAATGCTAGACTTCAGCCACAGACACGTGACGCCCAACAGCGTTGGTCCGAAATTTCAGGAGTTTCTAATTGTTCCACTGGGAAGCACCTTTCCTACTGAGTCTAAAACTGGAAGAGGGGGCTATTTCCAGCTCAGTTTTAAGTTACAGTATGCCAAGTATTCACAGACTAATCACAATCTGTTATTCACCCAGTTACAAAGAGCAGCAGCAGCAGCGCTGAACTCCTGACTCTCAGATTTTCAGATACAATAGGAGTGTGTGAGTTGGTCCAGACACAAATAACTCAACTATTCAGCAGACTGCTTGAACTTTTTAGCTCAAACTTAATCCTCTGAATATTTCCACGAACGACTTTAGCAATCTTTGTTAACAACCTTTACATCAGTTGTGAAGCAGCTGCAGTTTGGGATAGAACGGCTCCACACTCAACTCATGATAAAATGATAAAAGATAAATGACCCGCACTTGTATAACGTCTCTCAGAGTAAGGACTCCAAAGCGCTTTACACTACAGTGTATCATTCACCCATTCACACACACATTTACACACTGATGGTGATGAGCTACGATGTAGCCACAGCTGCCATGGGGCGCACTGACAGAGGCGAGGCTGCCGAGCACAGGCGTCACCGGTCCCTCCGACCACCACCAGCAGGCAAGGTGGGTTAAATGTCTTGCCCAAGGACACAACAACAGAAGTCTCTGTGCGGAGCCGGGATCGAACCTGCAATCTTCCGATTCTGGACAGCCCGCTCAACCTGTTGAGCTACTGCTGCCCCAACGACGCCTTCATTGTAGAAACTTGTTTTATCTTTATAACCAGCGATGACACTACAATAACATTTCCATGCAATAATCCCAAAGAAAGTTTTTTCTTCTTTGACAAAGATGTTTATTTTTACTTCTCTTTCTAACAACCATCTCTGTCCAAAGTATGAACACCTTAGGACAGTGACCTTTAACCTTGACATGAAGGATCAGCTCTCCTGTGAAAACAGCATGGGGGCGACATGGATTTTGGACATGGTTTGTAAACTTGTTCACGGTAACTCGGTTCTAGTTACAGTTTAAACGCTTGCTACTCTCTGTTTCTGAACCTTCTAACAAGTTGCCCTGCTACAGTCATGCCAACATTTAGTAAAAACACAAATCACATGCGGTGCTAAGTGCTGATAGATGTCCCAGATTTCACCTGCTGGTTGGATCTATCAGTTTTGTTTTTCTAAAGAGTGAGCCACACCATGGGTGGAGACTGACGTCATCCACGCTTCCTGTTAGAAAAATGTTCCTAAAGGAGGTGTCGCCTGGCGGACCGAAAGAACAGCACTGAGGCAGTGTTTAAAAGCAACACCCCCCCCATCCCCCCCCCACCCCCCACCCCTTGCATGCTCTCAGAGATGCTCACCCCGGTTTCACACTGAAAGCATCAGCGGCGCAGAACATCACTGCTCCCGAGAGTTGGTGTTGTTCACAAAAGTCTCACATTCAAACAGCTGGTTAATCAGATTAAACTATGAACTTTCAACTTTTGCCATTATCCCTTAAAAAAAACACGACTGACTATGTTGCCACTGTTTCTGGATGATGTTGCGTCTCTCCACTGCAGGTCCAGCCATGCAAAAGCCAAGTCAGATGCAGCTGATCAGGCCGCCCAGGCCTCCAACAGTGAGTCCAGCATTGCCAGACTGGTGGCCAAAGAGCTCTCTCCTTCTTTCTACCAACCAGGTTAGTAAATTAGTAATGAGATTGTGGAAAATATTACTGAGTCACAGAAATGAAATGATCACCACTGGCAACATTTTTATTGATTTATGTCTAACTTTTGATGGAAACAAAAACTTATGATAATTTTACATTTTATCCAAACTGTCAGGCCCTGTCCACACGTAGCCGGGGATCTGCCAAAACGTAGATATTTTTCTACGTTTTGGCCTGTCATCCACATGAAAACGGAGTTTTTTCACACGAAAACGGATCTTTTTAAAAACTCTGGCCAAAGTGAAGATCTGCGTTTTCTCCGTTTTGGGTGTCTGCGTGTGGACAGACAAAACCGGAGTTTTAAGGTCCGCAACAAAAAAATGCTGACATCACGTGTGCGACCTGTGTTTACACTAGCCGACAGCATGGATGCCCTCAGAGCTGCGCTCGCTTTATCAATTGTCCAAGCGCTTTTTGCTTGTTTGTTTTTGCAAGCGGAATTACTGCTCCTTGCGGAAGACCACAGACGAAGGACGAGGTTAAGAACGGGGGAAGTACTGCCGCCTACAGGTCTGGCATGTCCTTAACAACGTATTTATCCGGGTACGTGTGGGCAGTTTTTTTTTTAAGCGAGGTGGTGTGGATGCAAGTTTTTGGAGGGGCGGATATTCGTTTTTTAAAAAACCTGGCTACGTGTGGACTAGGCCTCAGTGAACCTCCACATTTATTTTACTCTTTGAGCTCTCAGGCAGAACATGTCTGTCACCCCGAGAAGAGCGGAACTCTAATGTCTAAAAAAAGGAGCGTCTTATTTGGTCCTAGGGATCAGATCAGTTTCATTGCAAGTTTGTCCACACACACACACACACACACACACACACACACACACACACACACACACACACACACACACACACACACACACACACACACACACACACACACGCACGCACACACACACACAGCAGGAGGGTTAATCTGACACAGATAGACCCAGACTGAAAGCGTTCTCACTCGCATGTTTACTTCTACAAGTAGATGGGGTCGGGCACATCCTTCTATTCAGTCTCAGATAAAAAGAAAATGACCTGAAACATGCTCTAAGTTTAATGTAACTACAGTACAATGGTTTAGGTATAACAAAAGGGCTCCAACAAACCTTCAGTCTAATCAGAAAACGAGTCTTGTGTAGCTGGAAACAGTCTCTTTAAACCTGCATACACTTTTAACAGTTTAGGTGTTTCTCATTTGAAACATTGATCATCATCAACGTGGCCCCCTTCATTAAACTTGACCTGTAGCAAATTCCATGATCCACCAGGGCGGCTGTGGCTACTGTAAGGGAATGAAATGACTGTTTTCCACCAAAAGTCATTTTCCCCTCCCCTCTGACACAGAACTAGTCTGCATGAGATATGGCCTCAAGGTCTCATGCATTTGCTTCTAAACTGCTTCTTTCCAGCTCAAGAGAAGAATGAAGAAAGGACTCTCTCCTTTTAATAAATCAAAGAACTCTATTTTTAATAAAGCTAATATAACAAAGCGATAGTCAATAATAAGATGTGACCAATCTGTGAAATCAAAATATTAATTACTTTATTATAATCCTATAGAATATAATAAGTAATACGACTTTAAATGTTTCTACTAGGACTGATCTCACGTAGCGTTAAGAGATGACACATTGCTTTTACTGATCCAATCGGAATCTGCCAGATCTGACGGAGGCGTGGTTTTGGTGGTGCTTGGTAAATCTGTCATCTTTTCATTCGACCATAAACCAAAACATCCGAAGTATAAAACTATGCCCAAGTCATCTTTAAAACCAGTTCAAAGCGTTCTAGAGAAGTTGTCGGAGTGGCCAATCCGTAACTTTCCTCTTCAGCCAAAAGAACCAACGACAAGCTGGATAAAATCTGTTGCTGTTCAAACTGCTGCAACGGTTCCTTTCAGAATAAAAGCTGAACCATCACGACCCAGGTTTGGATCTCGCTAGATGCCAACAAAACAAATGTAACCTATAACCATCAGTGTGTGAATGATTGCATGGTACATTTGTATACAAATGTCCAAATCATTATATTATTATCATAGACCTGCTGCTGATGTTCACAGTTGTGTTTTATGACCTCGTTTTGTCCAGTCAGCTGTCAGATGGATGGATGCGTGTCCGACTAAAACATTTTGGTCCACAGACTAGTTTATGGTGGACCGTGCTAGTCCTGTAAATGATCAACTCCACATTGTTTGTAAATGACCTTTGACCCTACACAATTTAAGGAGTAGTAAAAAGTTCCTTCTCTAAGGTGATTGGTAATGTGTTTCTTCCATGTGTTAACGGGGCGACGGTGGCACAGGAGTTAAGTGCTCGCCCCGTAATCGGAAGGTTGCAGGTTCGAGCTCTGCTCATTTTGTTGCTGTCGTTGTGTCCTTGGGCAAGACACTTAACCCACGATGCCTGCTGGTGGTGGTCGGAGGGACCGGTGGTGCCAGTGCTCGGCAGCCTCGCCTCTGTCAGTGCGCCCCAGGGCAGCTGTGGCTACATTGTAGTTCATCTCCACCAGTGTGTGAATGTGTGTGTGAATGGGTGAATGACTGATTGTGTTGTAAAGTGCCTTGGGGGGTTCCAGGACTCTAGAAGGCGCTATATCAAATACAGGCCATTTACCATTTAACACACACCTGCTCTTCTAGAGGAGCTAACCGGTGAAGATGCAGCTTCAGGTTGATTCAGTATGGAAGTATAAATAAAGTTAAAAATGTAAAGCTAAATTTCCACTAGTTGTCACACACTGGTGGGTAAAATTTGTTCTCCACGTTTGACCCATCCCCTGGGGGAGCGGTGAGTGGCAGACATAGCCACACTTGTGAAATATTTGGTGGTTTAAGTCCCCAATCCAACGCCTTAATGCTGAGTGTCAAGCCGGGAGGCACTGGGTCCCATTTTTGAAAGGCTTTGGAATGACCCGACCGTGGATTTGAACCCACCATCTCCCAGTCCCAGGGTAGACCACTGAGCTGGTAAATGGAATAAATGTTGAAATGAATAATACATTATAAACAGCTTAAAAGTAAAAGAGTTATTTGAAATTTAGATCTGAAACGGTTAGTTTTTTCCTCACCTCATGTCGTTACCATGTTGGTGCTTCAGATCAAGTAACAGGAGTGACCCAGAAGTCATTTTTTGTAACCCTAAAAAGCCACGGCATCTTTTTTCTTTTTTATCAGATAAAAATTCTATAGGCTAGCATTGAGCTAACAATGCTAATGGTGACTTACAAACAAATAGTTGTCTCTAAAAATTCTCAAGCTTCTTTTTCACTTGTCAATAACTCAATATTACAGATAAATGGATTTATCTAAACAACTTGCTGTGAATGACTCGTCTTTGCTCATCTAGAGTCTTCCGGTGCAGATGCATCGATGCAACAGCCACGATAACTTACGGGCAGGTAGAGAGAGAGTCACTCATATGGTTTCAAAATAGTCTGCAGTACTCAAATTTGACCACCGGATGTCCTTCTTACTTTATTCTTACACGATGCACCTTTAAAGTACATTTGAAAATGCTGTGGAAATGATTTACGTTAAATTAGCTTTGTCTGTATTTGATTTATCTTCAGAACTTTTGTAGGACCATGCCAAAGTAACAGCGTTAATTTTTCCAGGTCCTGAGTATCTAAAGAAGAGGGTTTTACAGGAAGTAGTGGAGGACAGTGAGAACCCAGACACTGTCATGCATGAGCCTCTGCTGGCCGATGAGGAGCCTCTGATGGCTGATGAGGAGCCCCTCCCAACACCACCTGAGAGTCCCTTCCTAAACGAACTGGACAGCCTCATGCCCAGCTCATCCCCAGGCCGCACCCCTTCCCCCAGCCCAGCCATCATCAACAAGGAGGACCCCAAACTCCTCAGTCCAAGAGGCTGGACTGAAGACAAATCCAATAAAGGTGGAGGTGTTAAAGCTGGTAGTAAACCCATTAGCATACCCAGCAGCCACCGCACCACATCATCAGCTGCAGCAGCTGCACCTTCTTCAGCAGCACCCGAAGGAGCTGGAGTCCCTAGAGGTCGAAGCCCCTCCCGCTCCCCCAGTCGTCACAGCAACAAGAACGAGCAGGGCTCAGACCTGGAGATTAAGCCTCTGCAGAAGTTTGACTCTGAAGCTAAAGCTCCAGAATTGTCTCCAGCCGCTCCAGCCCCTGTAAGGAACGATCTAATCACAGCAGATGAAGAAGATGCTCCACACCCTCTCTTAGATGCACCTCCCAAAGCTGTGACCCCCGAGCCTAAAGCCCCCGAGGTCAAAATGGAACGGCCTCCAACCATCCACGAACGTCCACCGTCCACCACTGAGACGAAAAGGCAGTCCCGGGAGGGGAGCAGGCCCACCAGTAGAACAGAGACAAGACCAGTACCAAAACGACAACCCAGCCCTGCTACAGCTCCAAAGCCTCTTCTCAATCATGAACCAAAAACACCAACGAAGCCAGCAGAAGCCAAAGTCATAGTAGCTACCAAACCAGCGCTGAAGGCCATGGTGTCCACCAAGGAGGTGACCTCAGAATCTTCTGAACTGGAGGTAAATATGAACAGTAGTGTGATTCCTATGATTGCCACATTAGCAGCACATCTTTACAGGTTTCCCACCACTTTAGTCAGAAACTCTTTCTGCTGTTATTCATTACAGCAGATTAGAGACGGATAAAAAAACATTGTTACTTTTATGCTGGAGCAAACATGTTTAACAGACATGTTTTAGTGTTTTGTCTCAGTATTTTATGGCCTGCAAAATGTCCCAAAGTAACCTGAGATGGACTCAATTTATAAGCAACACCGTTGGATCAAGGAGGGTCACTTGATGAGCCGAGCTCCTCTCTGGTTTTCTGTGATGAGGTGCTGCTTACGGTCACCATAACGCAGCATAGTGTGTTTCTCTGACATACACACACACATTTTTTGTCTCTCTATCTGCAGTACAAACCTGACTCAGCCTGACTAAACGATACACATTTTAGAATTTTTTTTATTATTTTTTGCCTCTGCAGAAGGAGTAGCCTTACACCTGTTGATTAGGTAAGGTGTCGGTCAGAAGCTCACATTTCAGACTTGATGCTGTGAAAGGATGAAGCTAATATGAGGACGCAACGGAAGCTATGATGAAAAGATGCTTCTGAAGGATATTTCCAAAATTTTCAGCTGTTTATTATTATGGATGTGAGACTTGATGTGGATCAATGGACTAAAGAGTTCTTAGGCAAATTACTTTCATTTAGAAATTATTTTAAAGTGTGTGTGTGTGTGTGTGGGAGGGTGGGGGGGGGGAGGACTCATTTCGGTGGGGTTATTTTATTTTTTTGTACTGCAATGTGCTGCTTTTATAATGTGAAAAGTATTTTATAAATAAAGTTTGGTTGGTTGGTTAGTGGATCAATCGATCGACTGATTGATTCAGCAATTCTTTGGAGGACATAAATGGACCCTTGTGGACTTAAAAGACAGTTTTCATTTGAAACTTTGAACAATGACTTGGACATTACCTTGCATTTCTATGTGGTTTGACTACTAGAGTGTTTACTGTGTTCTGATCCTTATCCCAAAGCACTCATATATGGCCCATTCAGCCTCATCTGGTTTTTGTGGTTTTATTTTTGCATTCTGTCCTAATCTGTCTTAAACCCTTTATTGTAAATTACCAGAACAGTTTAGCATACAGGCTCAAAACAGTGTAAAGTTTCCTGAATAATAAAAAAAAAAAAAAACTTCATTTACCTCCCAGAATAGGACGCTTGATTGCTGTAGGTTAATTGACCAGATGTGTTTTTTTCACCCCATTAAGCTTCTCTTATGAATAGTAATGCAGCGTGCCGTCCAGCAGATCTCTGTTTTATGTTGTCTTTCAAAAAACAACCTCTTCCTCTTTTTACCTTTTAGGGGCCGAACACCATAATGGTGTGCATGGTGATCCTCCTCAACATCGGCCTGGCCATTCTCTTTGTTCACATTTTGTCATGAGACAATCCTCTACTACTTAAGGTAATAAATAAAAGAAAATTAGAGTCGCTTGCAGATAAACTCTTCCTTTATTTAAGAATTAGAGTATTTCTGAAAAATGAGAAGCTGCCAATGTGGCTTTTAGCTATAGTTATAGTTAAGTATGTCTACAATGATGAAACTTTATTAATGTTAAAGCTGCTGTAAATGGCTCATTAGGGCTGCCATGGAAATCACACACCAATGAGATGTGCACACATGCACAGAGACATAAGAATGTGGGTTGCTGTGCAAAAATTCTAAATTTTATTTTAACTAAAATGTCTAACCTTGAGCAGCAGGTGAATTTGACTATCACAAAATTCACATTTTTTAATCCAGTGTTTCATGTAGAGGATGCAACATCAAAAGAGCCAATCTCTTCCAGGTGAAACATTGAACTTGTATATAATGTAGCTATGTGAGCTTGAGATGGTTTAAAGAGTGATTCTGTAGCGTTAAGAGGGACAGAGGAGCATCCGTTTAGGATCCCTCCTGGACGCCTCTCCCTGGTGAGGTTTTCTGGGCACATCCAACTGGGAGGAGACTTACAGGAAGACCCAGGACACGGTAGAGGGACTATGTCTCTCGGCTGGCCAGGGAACGCCTTGGGGCCTTGGGATTCCCCTGGAGGAGCTGGCCCATGTAGCTGGGGAAAGGGAAGTTTGGGCCTCCCTGCTTAGGTTGCTACTCCCGGGACCAGACTCCAGATAAGCAGTGGAGAATGAACGGATGGTTGGATGGATGGATGGATGGATGGATGATGATGGATGGATGGATGGAAGGGTGGATGGATGTATGGATGGATGGGTGGATGGAAGGGTGGATGGATGGGTGGATGGATGGGTGGATGGACGGATGGATGGAAGGGTGGATGGATAGAAGGATGGATAGGAGGAACAGTGGATGAAAAGTCACAAAAACACCTATTATTTGATGCATGTAGAGAAATCTCATAGGAGCAACATGAGTTCCTTTGCAAAAGAATTGGAACATTTATTGTGAAATCATCAAAAGTAGATTAAACAAAAATAATCTAGATTAAACTGCAATAGCACAAAAACCATGAAAGTTCAGACTCAGAAGGTCCGACTTCCTGAGTCCTTTTTGAGCTCTTATTGATGTGTTTCCTGCTACGTCTGAGTTCTGGAGCTCCAGGGTGAGGGTGTATGCAGAAGTACATCAGATGTTTTTTGTAAATTTTGTTGTTTTATTGTTCTGCTATGAAACTCATGACAGCATTTTTGATGGAGCTACATGTTTTGATGTATTTTCCAAGGAAATAAGAACTGAACATTGGGACCAAAAGGTATTAGTATTTATTTGTGCAAAGACAAATGAAAAGTGAAGAAATGAACATTATTTCTGGACAAAAAGCCACACTGTTTAGGAATTTTTCCAAATATTAGTTCTGATCACAGCTGTGTAACGGTCCATCTCTATGCAAATAAACACTAATAAGACAAAGTCGTTCTCTTGGTTTTGCTGCAGGCCACCAGCGGCGTTGGTGATGTCCCTCCTCCTCCTTCTGGACCAGAGACCAGACACCACTGGTGGTTGACTGGAGCCTCCTGCACACCAATAGCAGGGTTTTGTGACTGTGTGAGGCTCTGTGAAGCTTCTGTTTCCAGACCTGAGAGAAGCTGAAAGACTGTGATGGTTTAAACATGCCTGTGTTAAGTTAAAGGTGCAGGCTGGATGGCCGAGTAAGTCTCAGAGCTTACAGTGAGGCCGCAGAGCAGCGATCCAGATAGTTTTGTCACAGTGTGTCACAAGGGTGTCGTTATTTCTCGGTTTGGTTTTCAACTACTTTTAACTTAAATGGCTAAACACTGATTGGCTCTCTCAACACTGTCCTGAGCTTTATTTTCTAACTTAGACTGAACCTTCTCCTCTCCGCCTTGACCCTCAAACTGCAGCAGACGTCTGGATTGTGCAGCATTGTCATGCTAAAGATCTGAAATGTGTTTGTAACAAAAAGCTTTAATTTAGTAGATTTTAATCCCCACAACAAACACCCTGATATGTCATGAGATGAACTTCTAATGTTTAAGCTGAGCAAATGTGAATTGTTTTCTTTTAAACTGGGATTTACAGGATGTGCTTTGTTGCTGTCTCTGTCTGGAGAGAAGATAAAGGAAGCCGAGAGGCATTGAGTTAGTTTAGTGCTGTTTGGTAGAGCGAGGGATGATGTCTGTGCCTGATCTGATCCAAAGCAACCACCCAATGATGTGTTGAGATGTGGAGAAGCATTAATCTGTGAGCTGGCGTCCACACTGCTGCGGTAGAACATTCAGAGTGCTGTGATGCTTCACCGATAAACATTTGGGTTTTAATGTGTGCTGCTTTCTCTACTTTTGTACTTTTTTTTTTGAAGTTCACCTTTTCAGCATTGAAAGAGCATCACCATACTAAATGTATTTACGTCACAGTAATAAGAAAAGCCTAAGTGATGAGTAACTCCATGTCTTACAGTTATGGGGAGGATGTAGGCTAAAGCAGAAGCTGTTCTGTCTTTTGAGTATGCCGATGAAAACCGTTGATCTGAAGAAAAAAATGTTTTAATAAAACTCCCGTGCTTCTCTGTCCTGACTATGTTGGTTGAATTTTCTTCTGAACACATGTTCAGACAAATCCGTGTAAATAAAAAACCTGCAAAAAGAATGAGACTGCAGATTTTGTATGATGTTTTTAAAAAGCTATCAGTTCTATTACTCAATTGTTTCTAAAGAGCGTAGTAAAGATTTGTTTTTACCTTTAGAGCTTAAGTTTCGGTTAACACTACAGCCTTCCTCAGAGCACTAGAAGCAGAAAGTACAATAAAGAAATCTGCCATAACCAGGGCCACCTTAAACAGCTGATAGGCCCCGGGGCAGAGAGCCTCAGTAGCCCCACCCCCACCCCCCACGGGGGGAATAGGTGTGCATTGGTGGAGGAGGTGCTCTGAATACCTGTTTTTGTTGGATGATTAGATTATATTTTTGTCAGTGGTTGCCCTTCCCTTTATTTTTGTCCCTGAAACTCTTATCCATGCATTCGTCACATCCCAATCCACTAATACAACAGCATCTTATATCAGGGTATCTGCCGGTTTAAGGGAGCCAAATTTAAGACTTTTTAAGACCTTTTTTAAGGCCACTTTGACCAAATTTAAGCAATTTTTTTAAATTAAATTTAAGCTATAATTTCCAGCTATTGCCTGGAACCGGTGCTAACCACGCCGCGAACGTGGGATTAGCCATCCAGCTACCATTAAACTTGCAATTCCCCATGGCGCAAGTTCCCGCTAGCTTAATCAGCTAATGTGCTCATCTAAAAAGAGCCCCCTTTCCCAACCAACTGAATGTGTACAGTTCCGCTTACGCCAACATCATACACAAAAAATGCTGAACACTAACTAGAAATTCACGAAATTTTTATAGAAATAAAAGAATCTTGTTTATTGGGTCTTTGGTCATTTAAGACCTTCGGAAACAATTTAAGGATTATTTGTCATTTTTAAGGCCTTAAATTTGGAAAAGCAAGTTTAAGACTTTTTAAGGACCCGCGGATACCCTGTATATGGTGTCCCATCCAAATCCCTCACCAAGCTTCAACACATCCAGAATCTCCTAACCATTGGTTTCCTCTCATTCAGAGCATCACAAGTCCTCCATAACCCCGTGCTCACCCCCCACCCCCCCAGACCTTTTTTACCCGAGAGGTTTCAGAGTCGTCTGGTCTAAGTTTGGCCGGGTTGGACGGACCAGAACCGCTGAAGATACAGCTGTTATCCCTCCAGTAACTTGAAGTGTGGAGTTGTGAAATATGTCTCTTGTTTTATTCTTTAATTTGCGCTCAGAACATCGGCACTGATATAAAAGGCTTTTCTCCACCACAACATTAGCTAAACTAGAACTTGTTTCATCGGTGATGACATCTACCGATTGGAGGGGACTAGGACAGCACACGATCATAAACACAGAACAACCAAAATACAGAAGATGGATTAAAGAAGGGATACAAGTAAGGAGACGTGGACCCAGCACCATGAACAGAGATGATGGAGTCTACACATTGGATCAATCATGGGACAGGGTCATCGGTGAGGAGGGTGCGGGCAGCAGAGGGTGACATTGTCCTCTGCTGCCTGAGGAAGGCTACAGCGTCAGCCAAACCCTGTCAGGGACTAGACAGCCCTCCCCCATCCAACTCACCCCCACCACTAGTTTAGGTTTACCAGGTCTGTTGGGCATCCTCCCATTATGCTGGATCCAACTCACCACCAGTTGGTGATGAGCTGACCCTCTCTTGACCCTATAGCGTCTCAGCCACAGAGCTGTAGGTTTGATTATAACATAACAGAATGAATCAACATTTGGTTCAGAGAAGTCCAGCTCCTCTCCAGGAGTCGGGTTCCAGGGCCAGGTGAGTCTGACTTCAATGGTATAGCTCCACCTCGCAGGGCTGTGAGGCAACTTTCCCTCAACGTAAAACCAGTTCACGATGCTGGGATCAGCTCACCAATCCTCTCGGAGAGTGTCCCGGTCTTTTATGGGTTAGGTAATCTAATTACTGTGGTCTTCCTCAGTCATGGATGAAGGTATTTTGTAAAACTATTGCTAGCTGCTAGCATACGCTTCGTTTACCTCCAGGTAAGTAGAAACTGTTCAATTATATTCATGTTTATTGTGTTAAATGTGCAGCTTGAATGTTTCCATCCGTTTCTGTACTGACTGTAGTACTGTACTGCAGTACTATATTGTAGTACTGTACTACTGACTGTAGTGTTTATCAGAGAGACTACACTGTTTAGTAAGAAACTTTCATTTTGCTTCACATGTTGAATGTAAAGTGACACCACAAAGCTTTTTTATTTACACATTTTATTAAAAAACACACCTCATATCCCCCAAAGCCATTTTCAACATGATTTTCTATTTTTACAAAAACAGTTTGGAAATATAATGATTGAATTTTCTTTAATTATCCAGTAAACACCAAACTGTCCTGCAGCAGATCGGTGGGACACGTTTGGATGCAACACGTCGCTTTATTTTCTTTGGCTGGACGAGAGTGCTGAACATAAAGTAGCAGCTAATTACAAAACAGGTTATGTGACTTCCCAATGCGGATGCTCAGCTGGTTGATGTTGAAATGACATAACAAACTCTAAAATCTACTCAACATAAAATAAAATATATTTAGAAGTAGAAACCATGAAGTGAGACAGACTTGTTAAATAATTCCCTTTACAGTGTTACAGTGCTTAAAGAGTCATATTATTATCGGATAAAAACAATGTGATAAATAACTTACAGGTGAAAACACACAGGTCATGAAACTGCTGACAAAAATATAGCTGCAGAAAATGTGAATGTGGATTCTCTAATGTAGAGAAAATGAATGCTGTGGTCAACTTTGAAGGGATATTTTAGCTTTTAACCACGTTTAATATCAGATCACCCATTTTCCTCTTCGTGAATAATAAACAATAAACCTGAAGTATAATTCTCCAAAGTGGGCTGACTGTTGTTACTGGAAGGCGCTCAAAACATCACTCATTACCCAAAATATCCCAGTGATAGGTCTGCTGGAGAGCTGCTTCACTTCTTCCTCAGCTTAATCAGACACCCAGAACGACGCGAGGCAGGAGTAGATGAAAATGAAAACCTTCCCTTTATTTGGAAACAAAAAAATCCAAAAGGGCAGGAAGCCAAACCTAATATCTAAAACTGACAACAAAACAAAACCCAAAAGCTCACTGCAGAGCAGAGACCTAAGACCTAGTGAGGGGAAGCGAAACAACACTGACAAACATCAATGATCCAATAAAACATTGAGACACAGACAGGGTTTTATACACTGGGGAGGATGAGAGGGAGATGACCTGCAGGTGTGTGGAGAGAGAAATCAAGTGGAAGCAATTAACTAATCAGGGAGGAAACTAACATGACCTGAGAGTAAAACCTAAAGACAAGAAGAGCAGCAAAAATAACTAATATTCTAAGGGGGAGGAAAACCACAAACACTGGTGGGAAAAACACACTAAAGAGACTAATAAAATGAACAGCTGAAACTAAAAGAAAACACGACAGAAAGAAAAACTACAGGGGTGTGACTAAGGGGGACCACGGGAGCACTGGACCTGGGAGGGGGATGCCTGGGGAGGGAAACCTAGAGGGCTGTAGATCTGGGGACAAATGAGGAACACCGGGAGACACATGAGGGAGATGCAGAGAAGGACACATGAGGGTGCTAGGAGACACAAAAGGAGAGCCTAGAGAGGGACGAAGAACACAAGGAGACACATGAGAGGAGACGCAGACCATGACACTTAAAAGGAAACTTTTGCTTCTTAATTCTATGTTTTATAAACTTAGTTTGACTGAATCCACAACAGATTAACCCGGTTCTCGTGTGTCAGAGAGCCGGAGGGGATACCTGTGTGCAGGAGGACACTTCTGTCTGATCACAACACATGATGTTCTCTCTCACACACACACACACACACACACACACACACACACACACACACACACACACACACACACACACACACACACACACACACACACACACACACACACACAGAGTGTATTTGTGAATGACACTCAGCTACTAGCATGCTGAGTTATACCCCTCAGCTGGGTTGAAGCCAATACTCCGTTATCAACGTGAGGAACATTGTCTAAGATGTCCGCTGAAATCCGCCGTCATGACCCAGATAAGATCCTGAGCCATTAAAGCAGAACTCTCTCCTTCCTGATCAGTGTGAGCGATGACGAGCTGAAGTTTTGTTGCCTGTACAAATGTGGTGAATCAAGAGCTAAAGGACCCAGAACACCTCCTCTACACAAAACAAAACAAGAGGCATCAGATGTTTTCAGCTGCATCTGTAACGGAAGGATAAAACCCAGCAGCTCTGATACGCGCACACACGGCACCTGAAGGATCATTAGCAATAATTATGTTTCAGTGACACGGCCTTCAAAAATATTACAAAAAAAGAGCTCACATGTAGAAAAATACTATTACTAAGTGATAAAATAAAGATTCGGGTGAAGCTAAAAGGCAAAGTGCAAAAACAGCTGCAGCTCTGCAGGAGGTGGTTGAAGCTTTATTTCCTCCAGAGTGACCAGATGTTACTAAACAAGACGTTCACCATCAGAGCTGTGGGAGAGCAGCTGGAAAGGGTCAGCCTGGAGGAAAAGCAGCCACAAACATCGTGACAGAAGCCTCGATCTGTTACATGCTCATCCCTTTAGAACACAATAAAAACAATAAATAAGGAATTCATTATTGCTCTGCTGCTGCAGCTCATTAACAGGAACCCTAACACCATCAGGGAGTCTGCACCACAAACTCCTGCTAAACATGACTCGGCACAAACACAAACACAGGCTGCATCTCTGCACACCAGACACAAGACCATAAGGTTGCTGGTTTAGTTCTTACGGCAGGAAGACTGCTCTGCATGAACAACCACACTTCCTGTGGCCTTCAGCAAAAGGCACTTTAGCATCTGAACTCCACAGCTGGAGCTCAGAGTGAAACACGGACAGGCTGATGTTTCCAGATGTTACAGACCGGAGCTCTTCTCTCGGAGACACACCAGCCATTCATCAAATGAATGAGTTCATACATTAAAACAAAGACGAAGCCATAAAGAAGAAGCTGCTGGGAGGCGACTATCCTGAAACTTTACAAGTTATTAGTCTCCTTAAAGAGCAAGTCACTCCAAATCAACATTTTTTTGCTGATAAACTATATAAATGCGTGTCTGATCGTGCTGCAGACACGTGTAGTCAATAATTCGGCACTTTAGTGCATCTTAGTTAAAATTTAAATATTCTGCCTAAAACTGTCAGTGTTGCACCGTCGTCAGGTAAAAACTCAGCACTGCATTTGAATTTAAATCCGCCGTCGCTATTGGCTAAGAGGTACACTATGGTGTTAGATGGTACATTATGATGTCACAACGTCGTGAGTGTGGTTATTTGTTAGCGGCTCCACCCTCTCGGTCTGCTAGGCAACAGCATTTGTTGCATTTTTCAAACAGGAAGTGGGAGTTGAGTAAGAATCTGGTAGGGGGTGACTTGCTCTTTAATGTCTCTGAGCTGAGGCTGGCTGGAGACACAACTGGGAGACAATACACAACTTTACAGTTAAAAGCACACAGAATTGATGCCTACAGTGGGATGTGGAAGTTTGGGCATTTCCCAGTATAAACCACTGGTTGTTCTGATAAAACAAATCAATTAAATGTAGGAGACACACACAGTGATATTTGAGAAGTGAAACTAAGTTTACAGGATTTACAGAAAGTGTGCAATAACTGTTTAAACAAAACTAAGCAGGTGCATAAAATTGGGCACCTCACAAAAGAAATGACCTCGATATTCAGCAGATCCCCCTTTTGCAGGAATAACAGCCTCTAAACGCTTTCTATAGCCTCCAGTGAGAGTCTGGATTCTGGCTGAAGGTATTTTGAACCATTCTTCTCTGGTTTCTGAGCACGGACAGCTCTCCAATTCACACCACAGATTTTATATAATATTCAGGTCTGGGGGCGGAGATGGCCATTCCAGAACGTTCTACTTGTTCCTCTGCATGAATGCCGCAGTAGATGTTGAGCAGTGTTTCGGTCTTGTTGACAGATCCAGCCCCGGTGCAGCTTCAGCTTTGTCTCTCATTCCTGGACATTGGTCTCCAGAAGCTGCTGATGTTGAGTGGAATCCTCAACGTTAACACGATTCCCAGTCCCTGCACTTTTTATCGTAACAACCAACGATTTATACAGGAAATCATGAAGATCAACAAGGCTGCACAAACGTTCGCATCCCACTGTAGGACACTTTGGAACACATTCGAAACAAATGTAGAATTGTGGCTGGGCCACATGATGCGTATGATCATTGTGACCCTGTTCAGTCACAAAGGCCTTTGGACGTCTGGACAGCTGAGCCTTGTTTAAGGCGACACGTGTGTTTTCTCCACATCCAATAGGATGCAAGTTTGAATGCTGTTTTACGTCCTTGGATCAGTTTTTATTTATTTTAGTCTCTTATTTAACTTTTTAGTCTCTGGAATGTTTTATTTTGGTATGGTTTTATTTGCTGCTTCGTGGAGGTTTTATTGTACGGTTCTGTGCGGCGCTTCCAGGCAACGGCTGCTGTCAGAAATGTGCTATACAAATAAAGTTTGGACTTAAATGAGTTTGTTTCTGTTAAGCAGAACCCAGATCTGCTCTGCTATGGATAAATAAAGTTCAGTCGATTTTGAAATCATGATAAATAACATGACAACTCGCTGAGACGTTCATCTGATTTTGGAAACACACATGAAAGTCGTTAGTAATTAGCCTCCAACAGTGGCAGCCCAGTGAGATACTGGGATTAGACCGGTGACATGTTTGTGATGCGGCTGGTGGAAGCAGTCGGCCTACGCTGATGCTGCTGAGGGCTCAAGTGCAGTAACTGATTGTCAGAGGCTCTGTGATGGTTATGTGTGTGTTGGGTGTGTATGATACCTCCTACCTCTGAAGGGTCTGGTTTTGTAGAACAAATCACCTTTTCGTTAGGCTGCACAGTGGTGCAGTCAGTAGCACTGGTGTCTCACAGCAAGAAGGTCTCTGGTTGAACTTCCCCCTGTGGGGTTTTCTCTGATTCCCCCCACAGTTAGGTTAATGCCTAGATGTTCCTGTTTTACTCACTCCGGTAGTATTTAGAGTACTTTGCTCTAAATAACTGAAAGTTCCTGCTGTGCTCGTTACAAATGTTAAATCATTTCTGCTACATTTCTGTTGTTAGAAGAAAAGAATGCCAGCAGGACTCTCACAGGTTCAAACCCACAACAGCGGTCAGTGTCTCTGCTGCCCAGCCGTTGAGCCAGGCAGGTCCTATCATCACAGTGAGGCTATACTCAGGTCTGTGCTGTGAGTTGATTGCAGGGTGGTTTCTGGGCAGCCTTTGAGCAAGGCATCATGAGGATCACAGTGTTGAGGGTGCTGAGAGTCTCTGGAGGGAGGGAAGGTGGAGCGCTGTGCCGTAGTGCTGCTGAGCCAGGGGGTGCTATACCTGCTGCTGCTGCACCAGCCGCCTGTAATGAGGCATCACTTTGCTCTCGGGGAGGTAGAGCGCCATCTCCAGGGCAACCAGGATGATGAACTCAAAGGAGATCAGCTCCTTCCTGCTGATCCTGAAGCGCTCCTCCAGTTTCTGCAGAGAGATCAGCTCAGATGTTTCTGCCTCAGCTGTTTTAATTTGAATGCTTTCTTCTGGTTATCACTTTGTTTAAGTGTGTGTGTGTGTGTGTGTGTGCATGTGTCTTACATCAATGAGGTGTGTGACCTCCTGTTTCTTCAGGTCGCTGCTGATCTTAGCAGCTAATAGGATGCAGGCAGCTGACACCAACTTCCTGTGGAATAAACAACCAGTTAGGCAGGCGAACCAGGTTCTGCAGGAGCAGCCATGTTTGTTTCTGTCACTCTAAAGGACTTCTGGTTACTCGGGAAACATTTTAAAGCCTTTCAAAGTGAAATAAATCATGTTACAGTACAACAAGGAGCTCTGTGGACGTTGTTCTAAGAGAGAGTCAGCAAAATGAGCATGAATTCTAGAAATAACAGCGATGTCATTATTTATTTCTCCTGCCAGGAACTGCAAACAAACACAAGAGGGAGCCACTGCTCCACCACGCCATGTTCCACCGCTACAGCAGCAGGAGAAACCCACAGAACAAACCATCTTCAGCGGAGAACCAAAAGCACATGAAAGCAATAAAAAGATAAATACAGCAGATGATTACCGGTAAGTGTAATAATGAACAACATGATTGTTGATTAAAAAGGTGTGAAATAAAAGACTAGCTTGGCTCTTGTCTGAGCATCAGGTGACTTAACCCTGCTGTCAGGGCTCTTCTCACTCAGCACATTCAAGTAGTCAGCTGGACCATACAGGAAAGATAATTTGATCGGGTTTAAAAATAAATAATTTTTATTTGTTTTCACAGGTCAGAGGTTGATTCCAGATGAAACAGATGTCAAACAGGCTGAACCAGGCATCAGAGAGGAAAGAAACCACTGACCCTCCTAAAGGTCACTAGAGGTCATGCAATGCTGTCGGCACCTTTACATAACTGGTCACATCCATTCAAATGTAATGGACTTAGTGGGAGAGAGTAGGTGAGTAAAAACTGTAAACTAGAACTAAAAGTGAACTTTCTCTGTTGATTCTTTTTTAAAGCCACTACTCCAACCCTGCTCCTTTATCTGGCCTTCATGTTGGTGGAATCATGTGTTCACAATTCACTTTCAGCCTGGAGTTGGAGGGGTTAACACCTGCTCGCTGTGAAGACTGGGCTTCAGAAGCATCACATCAGAACCTACAAAAGTCTCCAACACCCAGAAGAAGTTTCAGACTTGATTTGCTTTGCTAGTCACCAGAGGGATGAGAAACCGTCACCATGGTGACAGACACAGCACCGTTCAGGGCTTGGTGCCTGCGGACTCCGGCAGATCAAACACATGAAGGACCACGGGTCATTTTTATATCAGCACCCAGCGGCTCGGTGCAGAAAAACATGGCAAAGCTCTCGTTTTACATGACATCCGGGTTCTAACAGACCTGTTCTGTTTGTTGAGTCGACCCTGCAGCACCAGTTTCTCAAAGTAGACAAAGGTCATTGCGATGGTGGCGGGCTGCAGGCCACAGTCCTCCCCGACCATCCTCATCTCTCGCTTTAGGCTGGGAAACACACAACATCCCGAATATGAACTGATCCTCTCACGACGGTGTGAAGACGCGCTTGGACGGTCACGTCCAGAGACCCTACCTGCGTATTTTGCTGAGAGTGAGCTTGATGTGGGGAAACTTGTCCTTAAAGGTCTCGTTCATGTCTTTCTTCAGATCAGAGGGCTTCACATACTCGATGACTGTTGTCTGGAGGGAAAACAACACGAGAAAACAAAATCAAACACATTTTCATTCAGTGGTATTTTATTGCACATAGTTTTTACTCATTGTATGTTTTCTTTCTTGTTTAGTGATTTGATCAAAAGAAGCTGCGTTTAACTTGCTCTGATTTTGAAATCAGGAAATGAGAAAAGATATTCAACAGTCTAATGAGCGATCAGTGGCGGCTTACTACATCTATTAAATTAATACCACTTTACAAAAAGAAACACCTTATTAATGGATATAGACACTTTCATATCATCATTACTAAGTTTGTCTAATGATTAACAAAGGCCTAAATCCGTTCAACTCACTGTAAAGTGCAAATTGGGTATGTTAAAATGTTTTAATGGTCATTAATAAATAGTGATGTGTTTAGTCTGTTGCTTGTCCTTAATAATAAACATTTAATGGTGACTTTATTAGGAATTATAGATTAATGAATGGCATATATAAATCATTGTTCAGCCATTTACAAAGCGAACCTTCTTGTGACACGGTTTGAGAAAAACTTTGTTCCATCTTTTGAATTTTTGACAAACACTATGAATGTTGTATTATTGATAAATATATTTGTTCCGACCAGCTCTGAGTGACTCCATCTGAAAGGTTTATATTTTCATTTTGATGCCTCCTTAGTTGAGTTTAATGAAGGGGCCACTGGTTTACCTGCTCAATCAAATCCTGGATTTCTGCCCATGCAGGTCTTTTATTCTATATCAGCTGGCTGATATATCGGGCCGGTATATTAAATTTTTTTTTAAAGCAGATACAAATAAATAAATAAATTCTGGCACCCATGTGGCCAACTGCCGCCACTATTAGACTAAAGAAAGGACCCGAAGGACCCCAACACACGTTTTTTTTTAAACGTTTCAAGTTTGTTTTATATTTGAAGTTCAATTAATATTAAGAAATGTATTGACTTACTGAAGTTATATTGCACAGAGTGAGTGTTAAGTTGTCCTTCACAATAAATGTGCTGGTAAAGCATAAATATATTGGCCTTAATAATCGGCTTTAGCTATCGGCCATCGCCAACAAAATTCTTTAAAATTCGGTATTGGCCTTTAAAAATAAACCATATCGGTCGGCTTCTATTTTATTTCCAAATTAAAGTTAACCAATGACAAACTAATGTGTTTCTGTTTAAAGGATACCAACTTCCTGAACAGCCTCCATTCAGAGAAATCAAGTTTATGTCTGACTGGACTCACACCCAAACAATTAACCCCGGTTTATGTCTGCTGGACGGGAGGTCTGCATGCACCTCAGTACTACATTCTACTGCTACTGGTGCTTTCTGCTCGTAAACAACCACAGAAATCCATTTACACATTTATGTGAGGACACACCGACTGTGGGCTAAGATCTCATTAGTGAACCAGGACAGTTTGGAGCCAAATACAACCCTAAAATACTGAGATGCATTTTCTAGGCCTGATCACTAAGCCCCACCCTCTGGCTGGTGATTATCTGAGTGTGTGTGTGTGTCCACGTACGAGTTGTGTGTTTACAACCTGTGTTTGATGAACACTCATACTTAAAGCAGGACAAATTTTACACATATGCTCGGGGTAAGAACAGTGACTAAGTAACCCACCTCACTCTGAGCAGCACAACAGTGTGCACGTGTGTGTGTGTGTGTGTGTGTGTGTGTGTGTGTGTGTGTGTGTCCATAAATTAGATTTCATCTCAGGAGGGACAGAAATAAGCTGCAGCCTCGATGCAGACGTAAGGAGCCGAGTGTGTGCAGATTATTTTACTTCCATCATCCTCTCATATTTCTGTATTTATTCATGTTTCCATTGCACGTGTACATTAAACCTGCAGCAGAATCCTAACTGAATCAAACACACCATATATGAGCGCTTTGTGATGGTTTATAGAGCTTCAAGCTGCCAGTTTTGATCCATTTTGCAGCCTTTTTGAGACGGACTGACTTTAACGTACAGCAGAGAGCAGCAGGTAAAGATTTGAGTATCACGTGAAATACCATAATGGATCAAGAACTTAAGTGTGACTGAGATTAAAGCAACCAAGTTACAACAGTTCATCATGGTAGTGGGCTGCACAGTGGTTGGCGCTTGCCTTGCAGCAAGAAGGTCCTGGGTTCTCTCTGGGTGTTCAAGCTTCCTCCCACAGTCCAAAAACATAACTTTCGGGTTGATTGGTCTCTAAATCGCCCTTAGGTGTGAGTGCGTGTGCTTCGTTGTTTGTCCTGTGTGTCTGTTGTCCTGTGATGGACCGGCAACCTGTCCAGGATGTACCCCGCCTGTTTGCCCGGAGACTGCTGGAGATAGGCACCAGCCCCCCGCAACCCCGTGTGGATAAGCAGGTATAGAAAACTGATGGATGGGGAATTTCTAATGACTTTAATCCCAGCAAAGGTTGAAACATTCATCTTAGGCTCTGTAGAACGGTGAGCAAACATTACGATTCTCTTAAGACTCTCCATGATCTTTGAGCTGTACGGGTCTGCTGCAGATCCTCTGTAATCTGGATTTTACACAAAACTGAACAGTAGAATGAAAGTAGCTCCTGGTCAGCGATGGTGAGGGCCTGCTGATGGGAATTGGGGAATGGACAAACTCTGACCTGGTGATGAGGCGTGTAGAGATGTGCCCGAACACATCAGACACGCAGAAGCTACAAATCTCAACTTAATGGGCTTAAAGGCTTTGCTGCTGACCTCTGTGAGATCAGAGGTGTGTTGGCTTCACCAGGAGAACTCACAGGATGTTAGTGTGAAGCTTGATAGTGGACCAATAACTGTATGGCTCAGCACATTATGCTGCTAACCCTAATACTCGAAACAGTAGAACTGAAGCAGTTTTAACGAGTGAGTGAACTCAGTGTATGGAAAGAAGACTGGGAGTTACTGATTCAGACTACTGTGATTCAGGCCATGCCCTGCTTCGCTTAGCTAAAATAAGCTAAGCTAATGCAGCAACAGGAAGTGTACATTTAAGTGATAATCCCACCAGTAACTCATGCTTGGTTCTACTCTTCTCACCCAGGCCGCTCCTCCTCCTGATGGAGACTGTGCGCCCAAGAGGAGGCCTCTAGGCTGTTAATTGCCTCCTGGTTCTCTGCATCCATCCTAGGCTGCTCCCCCTCATGCTTCTGGTGGAGTTGAGACAATCAGAAGCAGCCTTAAAGGCTGATCATTTCAGCCTGGATCTCTGCATATGTGAGGCAGCATGCACTCCTGGTTCTGCCCAGAGCTGGGAAATACAAGCCTGGCACTAAGCTCCAGGACATTGAAATGTTTTGAGAACCAGGATGAGAAAAACCTCCGACTGCAGTCAGATTTATGTTCACTGTCCTCAGGATAACTTTTCCACTCTCCCCTACTAACGTGCTAACTAACCTGATTTAGAAGGAATCCCTAGCATGAGATAGTGAAGATAAAACTGCCTCAAGCACGTATCACAGCACCAAATTGTCTGACCCAAAACTGACCCAAACCCTCCCGTGCATTAATGCACTGTAAGCATCTGTGGTCTGACACAGCGACGGCGTCAAACAGCCTGCAGAGCTGTGAATAAGCTACAAGACACCCAGTTGCTGGTAACATAAAACACACTCAAGACTTTGTGTCGAGCATTTTTACCATGTACGAGGTGAAGATCAGCACAC